AGAATAATACTTAATACTATTATCAAAATAAATCTGTAAGTGTTGAAAATTTTCATATTGCCTCACTATTTTTAGATTTGGACTCGCCTAATCATATTTAGCTTAGCTCTCTTTTTCTATGGTTTTAGATGACAATTTCAAAGTCATGACAGATGAGATTTTAACAGTTTCATTATTTCTCGATTTAGAAACAGAAACCGAATCACAAATTCTCCCACACATTATACAGTGATAAATGTTTTCTAAAAACTGACTCTTACTCACATTATACACCATCAAATCCYTCTGTTATATTACAGATTTTTAGTGACAGGTTAAAAGGACAGAACAAAAGAGATGATTTCTTGACCAGATCACACCAAGTAACAGAYTGGAAGACCTGAAATGCAACTCTGAATATTAGTTTATCTTGCAGCAGTATTTTATTCATGTKTATATTTTATATACTCCTATGAGATGAACTTACCTGAATTATTATTCAGGGGACAGCCAATGAGAACTTCATGATGAAAAGCACAAAGTAGAGAGAGCTCTATAGAGCCTGGGCTTTGTCTATAGGGTAGGATTTCCTAAGATGCTAGGTAGTGTGCTGTAGAATAGTCTTCAAAACTAATTAGAATTCTGTATTTATACATGCACTGATGTGTGTAGGTCTGTAGCAAGTCTTTGGCAAACAAGAATTTACAAAAGTAAAAGGTACATTGTGAAAACTTGGTGAAATTGTGTCTCAAAATAAATATTACATGTTTTGTAACCATCATTAATATCTCCTCAAACGGAACAGGTGCAATGCCATTGTTGGCAAATGATGACACATCAAGTAAAAGGGTCTACTCAGTTAAATAACCAACTGAGAGACTTACTCAGGGTCCCGTGGATAGAGATTAACAAACCATGAGGCATTTCCAACACACGCTGAGTTCTAATGAAAGCTGATTGAGGTTATAAAGTACTTAAATATGAAGCACAAGCATATTAGCAAGGCTAAAGGATTAAAGTGAACTTGAAGGAGACAGGGCAAACTGTTACTGTAGCAGACAAGTTATCTAAGCGCAGCTATGTGTAAGCTTTCAGCTATTTCATTTAACGGGTGCACATGGGTTYAAAACACAGAGGCTTTGTGGACAAGGCAGTTAAACTATTCAGAAAAAAAGCACAAAGTATAGTAATAATTTATAAACATTAACAAGGTTGTATCGTATTTGCAGACATTTCATTGACTGAATCCTAATAAGCTCACCAGAAATAAATCAGTATCAACCATGGCATATAAGCCCAAAGGGATAAAAGACGAGTTGTGTTAAGAAAACATATGGATGAAGTCAATGATGGCCTTCAAAGTAGCAGCTTGCCCCACCTTAAAATTTGTTGTGGGGATCCTCTCCTCCCAACTTTAATTCAGCTTCTCTACCTTTCTGAAAAGTAACGAAAAAAATCTGTCTAACAAGATGTATACTATAGTACATTATCTAGAAGTTTGCAAGCATTACACTCAATATWTTAAATGTATTATCCGCAAGTTTGTCCCAGTGGCTTTAGTAGACAGCCATTTCACACAAAAATCATTAAATATAACCAACTACAGGCASGCCTGATGCTCTAATCTTCTGAGAGTCTCAAGGACCACTATCACCCTATCCAGGAGAGACATCCACAAGAGCAAAATTTATTCCAATAATGGAGCTAGTAGATACATTTCTTTGCCCATAATAACCGAATTAGAAGCAAAGATTGCAGTAGATACTGTGCAGGGAGCATAAGATGCTCATTAAATTAATGTCTGCTCTTTGCAAATACCTTTTCCCCACACGAGCTGCAATTCAGGTCTCRGCTGCCATGCCACAATGCAGCTGACCTCTGAATCGCTCATGTTCCAGAGTTGGCCCTCAAGCGCTGTTCTCCTTTTGGGTTTTAAATCACACAGCACACCTAGTAATACACATTKCAATCCATATTGATCTCAAAGATTTGCTCGGTCTGCTTTTGRCACAAGATCTTACAAATGGAGCCCGTTAGATTTGAGGTGAATGCAGATGTTAGGTGATTAAGCACTGTATGTATGGCATGCATTCAAAGCTTCACTCTTATGCAAATAAGCTTCTCYGCAGAACCAAGGATCTTCAAACATAAAATTAATGCATAGGCCAAGTACTGAAATCAGGTAAGTGGTCTAAGAATCAAACAGTTGAATTTCCTATGAGAATTTGAGTAACAAGTACCCTTGGTAAGTTAAACATGCCCAACAAATGCTGAACAACAAACAATACTGGCAAAAGAAAAAAAAYGCATCATATCATAGTATGATGCAACTTTCATATTGTTTTATATTGTCATASAATACAATGTAAAGCCAAAAAAATCTTTATGAAAAATCTTTATTCAACATATCTCCTCTAGAAATGCCAGTGTACTGATATTACAGAGAAAGGACAAATTTGTAATCGCATTTTAACTATCTTACGCATGAAGCACCCCTAGTTTTAGTGAGCAGTTAATATTGCTTACAATTATCCATAACTGTAACAAACATCAGATTTAATAGTAATTAACAGCTTTTTCAGAACTTTAAGGAACAGAGAAACGTATGAAGTAGAGAGAAGGAAAGCCCAAGCCAAGTGTGTTATATTGAACTGACATGAACTTGTGTCCATAAATCKACCTATAAAGACACCTTAGAGCAAACTGCAGAAGATTCAAACACAAACATGTCACAACATTTAAGAGATAAGGCCTTTATGGGTGCTTTAGCATCCACAAATGAAGTCCTAAACCGAACTGAGACCTTGGTAAGGGGTTCACATGTGTGTGCATGAAAGGAGCAATACCCTTAACATTGTTCCCATTCYGAATACAGAAGCATCTGCCTGTTCTCACTGAGCACACAGATGCAATAAACACATTTGAAAAGCTTATGTCCAGACAAGGACATCGTCTATCACACAGCTGATGGTTTGTTTCTTAAACACACAGAAGACTAAATCACCAGACCACAACAACTGGCTGTATTACAAGTGTGAATCTTTGGCTGTCCCTGTGATACTGCTAGCTAGAGGGCTGCTGCCACACCCATTCCTACAGGGGCAGAGCGCTCACAGTCTTAACAGGGCAGGAAAGAATTACTCTCAGTTATCTCACATGAGATAAGAAAAAAAAATATATATATATATATATAAAAGCAATGATTTAATTCAAGGAATTAGAGCAATAAGGCATTGCTATAGGATGTCTGGATTAACTCCTCTCTCTGTTACAGGGATTTAGTTATCAATATTGGAGATTATATTTCACCACCTAAGAGAAGAAATGGAAGGATGCACATAAATATCTTGATTAAATAAACATCCTGTGACAGAGAAGGAAATGCTTGTCAGAAAGAAACAATGACTTTTGCTACATCATCTATGCTTTCTAATTTCTTACAAGTGTGTGTACACATAGAAATGCATTCTTAGACTTGAGAGAAAGCCARGAGAGATCTCCCTAGACTGGCTTAAAGGACAAAGCAGCATTCTGTACCAAATCAATAAAATTCCASCAAAATCAGAAGCATTCTGACTTTATTGCAGAAAGGCAGTTAAAATCTAGTTTCAACCACCAGACCCAGTATTCAAAACTGCCATGTGATGTTTATATTCAGCCACTGAGAGCCTTAGGAAGAGGCTCTGGACTGAAGGAGAGAGGC